ATTTCCCTCGAACCAAACAACCCCTACAAAGTTAGAACCATATTTGACCAATTGGCGATAAAAAGATCACCTAATACCCACCAAACAGCTTCAACAAAATTAGAATCATATATGAAAAACTCATAAAATAATTAATTAAATTATTAAAATAAAGGTATTTTTTTCACCCATATAATCAAAATTCAAACCCTTATTCTTCCTCTCCACCTCTCTCCTACACAAGAATGTCAACCATTTAACATATCTTATAAAAAAATTTCGAACCATATAGATCAATGGTGATAAAAAGATTACCTAATACCTCATCACAAGTGTTCGATAAACGTTCCGAACCGGACGCAGGCGAGAGTGGAGAGAGTATCTCTGGACCCAGATCCTCATTAGACACATCCACCTGCTTCCCTTCACGTAATCCTGACGATTTTAGATCTCTGAAACCAAATCCCCAATTTAATTTAGACCAAGTGCGTATACCTGAAAAAATCCTCTCTATGATAGTAGTTGGAATACTAATTCTGTGGCTATATTCTATACGAAATTAAATGTCGTTATGCCCTTTTTCTTAGGTTTATCATTGTGATGTGGATGTGCGTGTATTTGGACCAACGACCCTTTTCTTTTTCTCTTAGGATGGAATTCCTTTCATATATAGGTTAAGCATGTCACGTTTGAAGAAAGTGAATCGCCGTGCTAACTAGCTTTGAGGGTTCCATGTGGGTTGCCAGGTCCCCTGCATCATTCAAGTCTGCACCAAAATAGTTTGCTAGCATATTAATGGTTGTAGCAGGAAGATACAGTGCCATTGACAAAGCTTAATGTTTCCCAATCCCCACATAAGCAAAGTTTGTAACCCTTTTTGGCTTCCCTTCATTTTTTTCCCACCCAAAGAAAACACACACATGCTTGTAACGTACATTATGAAAACATGGTAAACCCACATTGAAGAGGTGTAATTGGCAGGAGGGTTTCTTCTCATCTTCCTCCTTGATCAAGACTTCTTTATGAATTCTAAGGTAGGACACATGGATGGTCGTTGTATTTGCCCACACCAAGAAAGTGATCTTAATTATTAAGGTATGTGCAAGTTAGTATACAGTAGTAATTAAGAAACAATCCACATGCATACAGAAAATTTTAATGTAATGTTGTGATGGGATCTGGTCCAACAATGCATGGTAGATGAGTGATGTGTGGTGCTAATTTAGCAGCCTTATGAGAAAGGGTATTGCACAAGTATGGGGAATTTTGTGATGTTGGGAAGAGAAAGGGAGTTGAGAATTGAGAAACTAATAGGGATGATAATTGAGAGACATGAGGCATGAATCATGATGCTTTGGGAAGTTAGACAATGTCTACTGGGGGCAAAATCATGAGCCATGTGCACTGCCACACAATTATGCTGCCCTCGTAAACCTCCTATCCCCACATTATTAAGTCATTTGACATTGTAAAAGATCAATATATATATATATATATATATATATATTTGATATTGTACTTGATCCCCAAAATGCAGCAGCTTTATGCTTACCGCATTCACTTCATCCCTTTGCGGCTTTGCCCTCGGACCTCCATACAACCCCTAATCCCAAAAAAGAGGCACCATTTTGGCAGAAGCTGATTGGGAGGAAAATATAGACAGAGTGGGCATGGCTTGGCTGCCCTTAAAACTAATGACTAGCCTACAATTTTGATGAAGAAAACCATGCACCGTAAGGGCTACTAAGACTCTTTTAAATTTCTTTCCCCCATATTTGTCATCTTAAAAACTATTATTTTCATCTGCTTTTCATTTCAACTTTTTAATTAACATTGAAGTTGATAATAACAGATTTGGGAATGGAGCTAGGTGTTAGTTGAGGAAGGAAGTTTACCAAATCGTAACTCTCCTTCCATTTTCAACTAGGGAGAGGAGAATCCAAAGTTACTAATCCCCAAGTGGGTATTGCTACCCCACCCTGGAAAGCGACCCAAGGCTTGGGAAAAGAAGCCCCTAGATGATGCCATAGGAATCGTCCATTGGGATCGGTCATCGACAAGCAAACACCATTTCATTAGATTGACAGAAAATTTTTCACTTTCTTTGCCATGTTTCTGTTTTTAATCATTTTACAGGAAAATGTCATCTTGTGTAAAAACTAAAAAGACGATTCGGTTGGATACCCTTATGGGTCCTGTTTTATTAAGTGGGTGCCATTTCTGCTGTTTAATTAGTTGTCTTCAAAACTCCATTCAAGAAAAAATTAATTGCTTGTAGCTAAGCTAACGGATATTGCACTCTTTCGGTTTTAACCATTGTAGTCCCAAACCCAATGCTATGATCAATTTAAAATTTTGTTTTAATTTTTCACTGTTTCGTATATTGACAATGATGCCTGGCGGTGAACTAATTAAGAGGAAAATACAGAGTCAAAGTTTGTTGGGTCCTTTCTTGTGACATAAACAAGGCATCTAAGGATATCTTGAGATACATCATATCAATAATATCATATCAACTAAACCATAATATCGTCCTATGTATAGCGAACCACGTGCATCGATGCATCAAGGTTCTTAGAATATAGACACATAATGTCAGCACAGAAAAGCAAATTAGAAACCTTTTTTCTATATGATGGGATTAAAAAAATCAGTTTGAAATGTGAAAAGACCGTAATCTTCTTAAGAAAAAGTGTCATGTAATCTTTACCATACATACTTAAGTCATTAGATGGAAAAGTTTCTTAGATGTATGGACATAAATTTTTTTATTTGATAATTTATTATCAATAATTTGATAAAATTTAAATTATAAAATATTATATTAATTCAATGCAAAATACAAAAGAAAAACAAATCATGGTGCCTAACAAAATTCTCTAACTCCTCTAGATTCTTTGGTGAAGGATCCAATGCGCTTAACTTCTCTTTTTGTCTTTATAATAACCCCCAGATTAAACTGCTTCTTCTCCTCTCTTTCAGTTCTCACCAAAAGCTTAGAAAAAAAAGCTTACAGCGAAATAACAAATAACGAAACAGAAAAGACAACGTTTTTTACAATTATATCACTATCCCATATAGGATCTCCCTACCTGTTCTTCGCTCTCTCTTTCAAATTCTCTCCCTCTCCAATTCTCCTAGTTCATATGGTTCCTCTCGCAGGTTGATCTTAACGTATGCAAAATTTAACAAAATTTCAGTTCTTGATATGTTGAATTCTGAGCTCTTTCTCGCTAGGGAAGATGAAGGTAATGAGTTTGACCTTATGAAGAGACCCATGTTGGGGTTTCAAAAAGAATGCAATTCTGCAGCCTCAGAACAGGAAGGTGAAGTTGAAGATGAAGGGAAAGAAGAAGTAAGGAGCATTCCAGTAAGAACGGGGCGAAAGAATAAAGAAGACACAGGCACAGCGGTTTCTGAGAAGAGCGGCAACACCGGGAAGCTGTCTTTGGGAGAATTTGAGGTAACCGTCGGTGAGAATGATGAGGGATTCAGAACTCCGACATCTCAGGATCACAGAATTCCGGTGGTCAAAGAATGCCCGCCTGCACCAAGAAAACCGAAGCCTCCGTCGAGGAAAAGGAAAGCATCCCCCAATACCGGAACGAGACTGCAACTGCTTGATCTAACCGAAGAGGTCGAATCCTTGTTCCCCAAACCTGATTTTCATCGTAACAACAAAAAAGCTCGAAGAGAAGAGAATTAATAATTTTATTTTTACTTACCTGGTTTCTTTATGTACAATGATGAGAGAATTATGTTGGTGCCTATTAATTGTGAACTTGTGATGATTATTATCTTTGGATAGAATTCGGACTTTTAATCCGATTGATTGTGATTAATAAACAAAGAATATGCATTTCTTTTTTTATTCGTTCTTCTTGTTTTGGAATTTTTTGTGTGGGGTTTGGTCTAAGACACTGATTATGATGATGAAGATGCTGCAAAGTGCAAAGATAAAGTTGCAAAAGATGACGCATTAAAGCACAGAGATCTGTAAGTTCCGACTTTATTGCAGCTCAGCTTCTTTTTATACTCAAGGTGTTTATGTAGGACTGACAAATCCAGAATCTACTCTAGGGGAAGGAATAAAACTGAAGATTTAATATCAGTTAATTTTTGCATTTTAGTTAATATTTTTTAATCTTTGGATTCCATGAGGGAAGTTGAAACAGTTTAAATCAAAATTTCCAAAAAATGTACAGAGCATCTGGGTAGATGAGCATTGCACCTGAAACAAAATGGAGGGGTGGATGGGCTCAACTAGGTATTGATGTTAGGCATAATCTTGGGTGTGGAAGCAACCCTTTTGAGTTCTTAAAATAATCGGAATAAATCAGATATTTTCTTTTTAACAGTGAGAAATTAGGGGGTGAGGATAAGTACAACAATGCTGCTGGTGCAACTGAGGCCCTTGAGAAAGAGTACTAGGGTAGCGGCTAACACCGCAATGACTTTATTATTTGAGATCAACTAATGAAAGAAAAAACGTTGACAAGTTAAATGGATTATTAAGAATTGCAAGCCCATACGTTGTCGGTAGGAATGGTTTTCCCACCCGTGGTTGATCTTCCATGGTTTGTTTGGTTCGGGATAAAATTAATTTTACTTCTCAAATGTTCACAGCTAAATAATATTTAGGTTAATTTATCATTTAAAACATCTACATAATTAAAAGTTCATGACTTTAAGTTAAAAGTCTTAAATCTAAAGAGAACTAAATAATATTTAGGTTTATTTATCATCTAAAACATCTACATAATTAAAAATTCATAACTTTAAGTTAAAAGTATTAAATCTAAAGAGAGGGAAATTAAGTGGAGAAAATTAGCAAAAGTATAAATTAGGATTATAAAGTTAGGCACAATCAAATGTAATATGAAAAAGGAGTTTTTTAAAATCAATGGACTATAAATTTGAGAAGAACAAATGAAGAACTATTATTGATATCAATTGACTAATAAATAATGAGGTATCTACTTATATATTAGTTTTATTTATTATATTTATACAAAATCTTAATTATTTATTTCTCTATTTATAATAGTTAAGATTTATTCATATTTATTAAAATTAATAATTTTTTTATTTAAAAAATTGTAATAAATTTTGATTATTAAAATAAAAAGATGAATGATTTTGTAAGAATTTGTGTGTAAATGAATTTATACTTTTAATAAAGAAGAAGGAGAAACTAACCCGCGAAGTCGGTATGTCCGAGTGGTCAAGGAGACAGACTTGAAATCTGTTGGGTTTCGCCCGCGCAGGTTCGAATCCTGCTGCCGACGTTTTATTTTCATTTTTGCAGTACTTTTGTTTTTTCGATTGTATTCAAACTCTGCATCAGCGTTCAAAAAAGAAATCTCTGCATTAAGAGATTGTATAAGAACGAAAGAAAGTCAATCATAAACACATAATTTTCCTGTTCTCTTTTTATTTTCTTGGGTAAAATTCGTGAGTCATTCAGTTCGGATCCTTCCTCCATAAGCACCGTCACTTCACCCTCCATTAATTCTACTAGCAACCTAGTTAAGTTCTTCCCATCAATAAACCAAGAAGATTTCCTTATATCTTCTTCTTCTGCTGCTTCCATTCATATTCTCCCTCCATAAAACAAGGGAATTCACCATCTATTATTGTAGGGGTAGTTATACGCAAGACGCAGGGCACAGCTTAGAGTCTACCACACCTCGGCTCTTTGTTGTAAGTACATGGCAGTCACAATAAGCACACCCTTACCTAATCATTTGTCCTTACCTAAGTTTCCTTTCTCAAGGGACCTGCTTCGTCAGAATGCATCACGCGCATTTAATGCGGTTGCTCCATTAAGGCAAGTTACATTCACCTAAAATGTTTACTCCGTCAAGCGTACCGTGTCATCATTATTGAGTTAATTAAGTCACGTGGGTGCCAGTAAACCATGTGGGTACCAGTAAGCCATGTGGGTACCTTATCAAGATGGACAAAACCCACAAGAAAAGGTATAATAAATAGATGGAACAAAAAAGGAGAACATATTATTAAAAAAATACTAACTTAAGCATCGAAGTTTCTCCCCGAGGACCAACCTTGGGATTTTGCAAGACCACCTGGAGAGGAGTCGCACCGAAGGAAGATCTTGAAGGTTTTTCAGCAACTACAATTATATCTTTCTGCTGCTACTAATTTCTTTTCCGGATCTTCATCTACCTCTTGTGGTCTTTGGTTTGACATTGGCGGCCATGGAAACCAGAACATCTCCCCAACAGCATTAGGCATGTCTTGGATTACCACCAATAATGGGCCTACACGAAACCTTTTCTAGGAACATAATATTTGATCATGTTAGTATTCATCTGTTTTATTTATTAAAAATTAAAAAAATATATTACAAGAAATAACAAAAAAAATACTTCACTACATATTTTAAAAATAAAATATTTTAATTTTTTTAGTGAAATTTTCTTAAAATTATATAATTTTAAAATAATTTTTTTTAATATTTAAAAGGTAAAACAGTCAGTATTATTTTTATATCTATTGTATCATACTATTCTAGATAATATTAGAATCGCTCAATTTTATATTTGTAAAAGTTTAGAATTTACTTGTCTAGAATATTTATTGTGTGCTGCAATTTTATATATTTGTAAATGCAACACTGTTTATTAGTAAGTCATCGTATATGCAACTTCATTTCCACAAGCTTCTTTATCCTTAAATTGAATCTCAATTTCCTTCTACAACTAGAATTGCTCAGAAGAAGCTCCCCAAGCATGGCAGAAAGAACTAGAACTGAAGGTTCCACTCCACTCGCTACCGTTGAAGAGATCCAGAAACGCCTCCTCCGTCCTTCCTCTCTTCACTTCCGGTATTTTTCTCACTCTCTGCAAACATATTTCCTCAAGAATTTTTTTTTCAAATTTCTACTTAATCAACTTAATTGAATTCACGCAGGGGATATTGCGAAGAATCGCAGCCGAAGTCAAGTTCATCGGAGCTGCCGATGACGAGTGATAGAGGAACAACGAAGAGGAAGCTCGAAGAATACTTAGATCCTGTTCTTCTGTCGGCAATATGTGCCAAAATTGGTCGTTCAAATAAGGATTCGGAAATGAAGAAGAAGAGAAATGTTAGGGATTTCGAATGGCCTGTTGATGAATTGAAAGTGTTCGTTGACGATTCGAGGACAGAGAACGGAGCCTATTGCAGAAACAGTGAGGTCGTCGTCGATCTCAACTGCGATACCGATGTCATCGGCGATTGCGGAGACGGAGAAATCGGCACTCCTTTTCAGCATTTTGAGCAAACAGCATTGAAGCGATTCAAGAGATCAATGCAATAGGTTGCTCGGGTCGGTTAGCTCGTAATGGATGCGGAATTGCAGCTGCTAACATGCACCGTGGCGGGTAAATTTGGAGAATTGAGCGATTTTCCCTTCTTTTTTTTTTTTTCTTTTTTTTTAATGAGAATTTCAATTTCTGTTAATGGGTCATTTTAGAAGTTAGAAATTTTAGATACTAAAAATAAATAAATAAAAATTTAAAATTGCGGCCTTTTCTACCTGCATTTTTTTTCTCCTCCTCTGTGCAGTATCACGCCAAATCTCGTCTACTAATTTAACAACATATCAGCCCATGTGACCCTATTTGTAATTAAATAATTAACAAAGTATACATTAAATTAAATTTTAATTATAAATAAAGACTATATATATTTTTAGTACATCTAATAATAATAATTATATAAAAAAAGATAATTTTTTTTCTTAAATTTTTATTCATTCAACTCAAAGTTTGAATTTGAGATTTTTATTTTTAAATTTTATATTTTTAACTACTGAATCACCTCCTGAGTTAAGATTACGATATTAATATGTCACAACATTAATGAAAAAAAAATATATACTTTTGATATGGTATGTAGTTGCATGAAAAAATTTCTAATTCTCAACCCGTTTCAATAGCAGGCCTGGCCTTTATTCCCTTTTCAATTGGTCCAATTAGGAATTAGGGTCCACAATCTAGCGAGCCGATCGGACTGTATTAATGGGCTGGTTGGGCCCCCGGTCCAAACATCAAAGTGAAGAATACGTCCAATTTGAATTCAAAATGCAGATCTATGATCTCCCTCGCCGGCTTGCTTGCCGCCTTCCTGTCTTCCATCCTGAGAAATTCCAGACAGATGAACTCACTCATCCCCTAATCCATGGACGACAGAGACCTGGACGACGCCGCATTATGGGCGGTGATTGATTCTGCGGCCGCCTCCCACTCCTCCTCTAAACACCGCAAAACCCTCGCCATCAAGTACCCCAATCACCAATCCCCGCACACCCCCATCTCCTTCCCCTCTCCACCCTCAAAGCTCCCCCAAAGAAGCTTCCGAAACAACCAGCAACTTTACTCCCCTTCAAACACCAACTCTTACAGCGATGATTACCACAGGCCATATAAGATGGCCAGGCCTTGCGCCTCTGAGGTCAGCGAGAGTAGCCCGCTGGCCGTTGTGCAACGGACACCGACTACCTCGGCATGCCCATTTATCCAATTTCCAGAGACATATTTGTCTCCGGAGATTGGGAAATTTGATAGTGGTGGTGAATCGGAGGTGTTGCCGGGGAAGCGTGGAAGGATTGAGGAGGGGGTGAGGCCCAGCTTGCACAGCTTATCGGGGAAGTTCCCATCGGTTGAGCTGTTTAAGGAGTTTCAAAATTCGGCCATGGCGGTAATAAGATTTGCTGTGTTATTTGTGCTTCTTCTACATAGCAATTTCTCTTAGCGTTTTCTTCTGTTTTATGTCTTCTCTCTATTTGGGTGAATATATAGTATGAGATTGGGTTTCTTCTTAATTAATTCAAGAGCTATTAAGAATCTGATCAATGATCATGGATGATTTAGCTTTGTTTTCTTTTAGAATATAATTGCATCCAGCATCTTCTTCTATTATCTGCAGATGTTTCCTGTTGTTGAAAACAATATCAAATTCTTGAATCTTGAAAATGTTGAATCACTTCTAGTATGTACGGTGTACCATCATATATTGAAACCCCATAGACTTCTGGTTTTTGTGGGTTTGGACCTACATGGGTTTTCATCATCTTAAAGTCTTTTATTTAGGTTTGAATTAATTTGATGATTGTGTCTGCCATTTCATTAACAGATATTGGAAAAATCAGATTACACTATGATTTCTGGGAGCCCTTTTATAAAAAAATCAGGTAATCGATCCTGGGTATCCTCTATGTTGTTGTACTGACCTTGAATGAAACATGTAACAATTTTGCAGTAACATGGACCTTATTTCTGCAGGTTGGAGGAAAATATCATTTTATTTCAATCTCTCTTTTGAAATAAAAGATAAGACCATTGAATTTGATGATAACCGCAATGTCCAGCGGGCTGAGTTTGTGGTTCGGGCATATATGCAGTATGTTCTTTTAGTTCCAAGAAACTAACAGTTGTCTTAAAAAATTGGATTGGTAGTATATTCATTATATGTATGATTCATTAATGTTGTCATGGGATTTCTATGCCCTTTTACTAGGGGTGGAAGATTCTGTGATGGATGGGGCTCGTGTGAGCGGCGTGAAAAGAGATTTCTCAAACCAAATCATGATATTCCTAGTACAGCTGAAACCAGAGCCAAAAACAAAGCATGTCAGGTAGGACCCCACTCATATTTGCAGGTTTACTGCAGTTTGCCTTTCCACAACAGACTCAATTAGCAACTAGTTCTCAATTTCACGTACTATACTTGTTTAAGCTTAAACATGCACGAATTTGCCTATACTAGAGTGTGAATTTTGATCAATATATAAACCTATTTTCACACTAACATGCTAACCATGGACAAACTTATCACACTCCTAATGAGTCTAATCCTAGGATTTAGTTGTGAGTCCAAAATCATGTGGTTACTAACATCACTTCATTCTTTCTTGCATTTTTTTGAAACTTGCAGGTTGCTTTTCTGTCAACTAATAATGCAATCTTAACATTAGTCACTAGACTCATTACCACCATGGTCCATGGAAGTTTTTTTCTAAATAAAAGGAGGGATTGCTTTACATTACTGTAAAGTTACCAAAGACAGATTAAATGGTGGAATGTCACCAGGGTTGCGGGTTGTCTTGCTAAGTATTATTAAGTATATGCTTGTAATTATTCAGCACGCATACTTCATGTGCATTCACCTCTCACTTTTATCATTGTAGCAATTGATCCTCGGTTCCTCTTGCACTTTTGCCTTTCTAATTCCCTTACCCATAAGTCAGTTTACAAAAGTCTCTTTCTTCCCCTCTTGTTATTAGTCCTATGCATCATCTAAAGTTCACGTCCACGCAATTTGCAGTTGTCATTTTTAAGCAACCAATATTACTTTCTTCTTATGTAAAAGTTTTATACAATTTCTGTAGGACTTGCTAGGAATTGGGGAGTATCGACCTGGTTCCAGCCAGTTTCAGCGACAAACGTAACTATTCTGTCACAACAACTCAACCATCCAGTTAATTCTGAGAGACCAGAATTATCATTGTGTGGTGGTTTTTTTTTTTTTTCATTTGTCGTCCAACCCTGTTTCTGCCACTTGCAAAATGCATCCAGTTGAAGCAAAGATCTTGTACCCTTTAACTTCAAGGCTATAAGTTCATTGTGTTTGTAACAGAGATTCAGAGAGTCAACAACACAGATCTTGTTTCCAAAAATTCTGACAAAATTCCTCCTTCAAAATAGCAAATCCATCTTACTAAAGAGTTTATAATTTGCGTTGTAGCCCGAATTATATTAAATGAAAAAACTCAATAATCAGCCCTCATTCAATGGTTTATACTATATAGTTTGAATTAATGACATTTTTTTATTAAATGAAACAGAAAATCATGTTCTTAGCATATAAGTTCAACTGTTCTGGCTAGTTTTCCTCTTCTTTTTTTTTTAATCATTTTATATTTCTAACAATGGAGTATATTAGTGTAAGGATCTGATATTGGCTAAAAATTAGTGCATGTAGGTGCTCCTCCACCGCAGCTTATCATTGCTTATTAGAGTAGGTAAACTGACATCTGGAGCAGTGGGAATGGGGAGCTTGGACTGAATAGAGCTTGTGGACCAAAAGTAAAAGAGAAAAAAAAAAAGAAAAGAAAAGTGCTCCCTCCCTCGAAATACAGGACGAAACAGTTTATGCACACCGAAGCAGAACCGTTTTCTTTTATGTTTTCAGCCCTTTAACGGTATCTGATTTTATTCTCCCCTTTACCCTTGTTTTAAAGCAAACACAACTGACCTGTCATGACATTTTCCGCTACACCTTTTCCACAAATGACTTCAATGTCCTCCTCCTTTCAATAAATACAATGTCCTAGTTTTGTATTGAAAAAGAACTACAATCATAATATGTAATACATATTTGTAAACATCAACCACTGATAATAATTTAAGTTAGAAATGGATTTTCGAATTCAGTGATTCATTTTTAAGTCTTAAATATTTAGGTTTAGTTGGTCAAGAATTTGATTCCACCAACATATTGAAGAAATATCATTTTTTTTCCAAATTTCCTAACGTTCAAAAATAATAATAATTTAAGTAAGGAAATGTTACCATAAACAAAAAAAAAAGTTAGAGAAATGTTAGTCACTTTTTAAAAAATCAAAAAATAAAAAATAAAAAGAATCAATGGGAGGAATGCATGGGCATTCGGCTATGTGGAGTGCTCATAGCACTTTTATTTGAGTTTCTAAAAATCATGTGAATTTTAACATGAAATCTAAAATTTATTCATTATAATAATTTATTAGTAAATTACCAAAGTATCATTAATAAATAACATGAAAAGGAGATTACAATCACATTTTTTATTTCAGGTTACATTGTATTTTTTTCATTTTAAATCATTAGGGTGCTTTCTAATTAATTTTTAAACACAACAAAACTTGGGAGTGTTTGTTTCGATTTTTACAAAGAGTTATCAATTATTAATTTAATCAAATGAATTAAATATTTTAAATTATATATAATTATTATTAATCATCAAATACTAATTATCAACTATTAATTATTTCTAAATAATCAATTCAAATAACTCCTTACACTTTATTTCTAGATTATAAGATTACAAAAGTTTTTTTAAATTACTAATAATTTGTTAATTTGAGTGAAAAGAACTTGATTTTTTTTAAGTAAAATCTTGAGTTTGAGTTTTCTAAATGAAGAAATAAGTATTGAAAGAGTTTTTTTCTTACAAAATTAGATGTGGTTTGATTTCATATGAGTTGAAATTCAATGTGATTAACAGATACGGAAAAATTAATAAAAAAAAAAAAGCCTTTTGGATTTTGAGCACATCAAAAAGATGGAATTATGGAAAATAAGGGGGTATTTTGGTCATATTAAGAGAATAATACCGCAATGTGTTCAGTCAAGATCCTGGCCCGCCTCTGCAGCGTTTGCTCACGCCCCGCTACAAAAACAGTTTCCCCATCTCCGGTCCCCTTTCCCAGTCTCCTTCCTCCGCCTCTTTCTCTGTCTCCTCGAAAGAGAAAAGGACAGAGTGAAACGGTAACATCTAAACACGTCCTTTTCCGTCCTACTATGTCTATGGAGACCCATAATTCCTTCAAAATTTCCTTCCCTGCTTTAACATTTTCACACATTTCGTTTTAAATTCAGCATTTCTACTCATCTTTCTGGTGAATTGTCTTACTGCATCGCTCAATTCCGGCAGCCGGCTGATATACTTGGCGTTAAGGCTCATGGCTCAACGGGTACCTGGACTTCTCTTTTTTCTTTTTCCCATTTTTTTCCTCCCCTTTTTTTTTTTCATTTTCCCCAAGTCATTGTTCTTTCTTGATGTTGTTTGGTTGTTCTAAGTTTGAACCCATTTGATGCTGAATTTTAAATGCAGGAAGAAGGGTGGCCTCTTGGTCTCCCACTGAATGCGAGAATTGGGTTCTTGAGGAATCTCGATCTCTCTGGATCAGTTTCTTTCAGTACTCTGCTCACTGCTTCCCCCACTTCCTCCACCGTTTCTTCATCAGATCTTGATACAGAGGTCAGTTTTTCAACTCTCCCCTGCTCCCATATTCTCTTTTCCCAGTAAGGAAAACCTCCATAAGGAAAACAACATGATGCTAATTTGTACTCAACCATTGTATGCATTTTCTCTTATTTGAAGAAGGAAAAATGGTTTTTTAGTGATAATTAGAGGAAATGGTCCATGACCCAGAACATTGTGTGCACTAACCATCTAAGCCAAGTCGGAATCAGATTGCTTGTATTGTGTTTCAAATTTATTCAATGATTTTCAGTCAACTGGATCTTTCTTCCGTGATAAAAGCATCACTCTCGGGAGCCTGATTGGTGTCTCCAGCATTCTGGAGCTCACACAGAGATCGACCAGGAGAAGAAGAATGGAAAACATAAAGGACCAGAAGAATTACAAGACTAGCAGACCCTGGCTGTTTTCATTGTGTTCAAAGCTAAGCACTGATGCTGTGGATACGAGCACCACTCCTTCTCTAGGCCATTTTCTTGAAGCTGAGAGGAAAGCCGCTAATGTGTACAGAAGGAATCAGAGCCCGGTTGCTCCTGACTCTGGTGATTTCTCCCCAGTTACAATGCCTGAAGCAAATTCGATATTTGTTGGTGATCATGTTGATCCTCATTCTGAAGCTGCATTGGGGATAGCAGGTAGCAGGAAAGCAGGCAGGGAACTTCTAAGGCATGGCAATGGTTATGGAGTCCCCTTACCATTTCCATGCATGTGTGGACAACTAATTGAATGATGACTTACCATTGAACATTTTACGTGTTTTGTTTCTTCAGATTTACTTTCTGGATCCTGAGGATTTCAAAGTTTCATTGTTTGTATAAACCTGTTTGGATGAATTCTAAAGCACTAGTTGACTTCAACAAAATTTTCATAGAACCACCAAATTCGGCTCTAAACTAAAATAATTGATGAGATCAGTGAGAATGAACATCCACTGATGATTTGATTGTATTATGTTCACTGGGGAAAATAGTATCTGGTTCATCTTTCACCCTAATTGCTATATATAATGCTGAATGGAGTTATACTGAAACTGTATACCTCCATTCAAATAGCAATGAATAGGATTGTTGTTACTTCTACCAGTCGCACAGCTACGACAACAGGAAAGGAGATCAACAGCCGTTGCTTGTTAGGGCTTATTACCTCCTTCGTTGCAATCAACAGGGACTTTTCCCGAGCTGCGGCTAGCCATCTTTCCAAATGAACTGATGGCTGACAAACCCTTGAAACTGCTGCTGCCTTCACTGAAGTTGGACTTCCTTGACTTATTTGGTTTCGACAGGCTGATTTCAGTTTCTGTTTCATTGTTGCTAATCTTTGTGAAACTTGGCTTTGAGGGACTGGTCCCTCCTTCTGAATCATTGTTGGTGACTTTGGCAGCAACTAGTTGAGTGATATTGCTACGACAAAAGGGGCAAACTGGTGCTATAGGACGGGCTGTTAGAGGGTTGGGCTTCTTGTGGCAGCAAAGGGCAAGGGTGCAATGAGCACACATTCGATGACCACATTCTTTGATCTCAATTGTGCATAGCTGGTCAAAACATATGCAACATAGCTCGACCTCACTGGCCTGTTTGACAAAATTCAACAGATAGGTAGATTCTACTAAATTAAAGGGGGCAAAAGTACATGCAAATCTGAAACTCTCAGGTTTCATGTAATTTGTAGACAGAGGAAGTAAGTAACATAAGTGTTTAAACGTCAAGTTACCTCTGAGGCATTGTCACCAGTTTTGTCCTCAGAATCTGAGATGGGTGGAAGGGTGTAAACTTTCTCCTTGAGTATTGCTTTCTCCCTTGCTATGTTTGCTTCCATCAAGGCCTTCTCAAGCAGTTCTTTGGCTTCTGGATTAAGATCGTTTATGAACCTTAAAGGCATTGGCCAAACAAGAGGTTCAGGAGAGGCCGGGTTCAGCAAAGCAGCACATGCCTCATGCCTGTGCTTCAAAGCAATCAGGTATGGCACTCTCCTGCAGCAGTATAACCTTCATTATCTCAGTATATTCCAACCTTCCAAAGACCTTTACTAAGAATTAAAAACTATACGTATATCTACAAGTCTATGACTGATGGTTACAGTAACATCAAAATCAAGATTAATAGTAACTTTCTATAGCATTGGCAAACTAAATAACATCATATTTGAATCAAGTACATATTGGAATTTTACTTTAATAAAGTTTTTAGGAAAAAATTGTATTGCTACAGCCGGCATTATAAAGCCCAAAATTCAGGTTTTTTTACTTTTCCTTTTTTTCAAAATGAACTTTTGACCAAGAAAGCTGTGCTCACTTTGAGATACATGGATGTCAAAAGTGGCTGCAACACGGTATGGTCACTTTGGCATACCCAAAAGGAGTCATCTACCTATTCCTTTTCATATGTTCTCATCAAGGCTTACCCGTATGAATCTGGTTGAAGCCTATCTGCTCCCCAAGCAAGCAATTCCCGGACACAAGCCAACGAACCACCACGAGCCGCAAAATGAAGAGGTGTGCTACCTGGATAGCTGCAGAAAGCCCTCCTGTTAATCCAAATCTAAATTTGGAAAGATCACTTGATAAAAACAGAAAAAAGACCTTAATCAACAAAGTTACCCATTTCCCCCAGTTGAAGCACAGACAAGAGCTCCGTTATCTAAGAGAGCATGAACACAATCCGTCCATCCTTCACAAGCAGCCAAATGCAGAGGTGTTGCACCACTTTCATCTCTTATGTTCACAAATCTAGCAAACCCCCTGCAAAATTTCCAATGCCAACAAATTCAAGAAGACATCAATTACAACAATTCAATTTAGCACCATCCAATGTGTGTATCTTAGACAGGGGCCTGCATGTGTCAGGGAAAGGAGGAGAGAAAGGGACAGACCAAGAATTTGCAAGAGAGCTGCTCCGGGCAGTGGAAAGAAGAGCTTGAAGGCAATCAAAATGACCATAATACGCAGCATAATGCAAGCAAGTTCTTCCTTGAAGAGAGTCAAACATCAAAATCTGGAAAACATTCAACATGACAGATGATCACCTTGTAGGAACAATCAAGACACAATAATTCCCAAAATTGAAAAATTGCAGTTACAGTAAATGAGAACATACATATGCTCCACTCTCAATAAGCTTCCGAACACAACAGATCTTCCCATGCATTGCTGCCAACATCAATGGAGTCTAACAAAATCACAGAAACATGTAATGAGAACATGCAAGATAAGGATTTCCTGGTTTGAACACAAAAATCAATTAATAATAACACTCACCTGTCTATGGCGATTCAATAAATCTGAGTTTGTACATCGATCTAGAAGAAATGAAAGAACCTAAAGCCAGCAAGAATCCGTCAGCATTGTCTCTGTCAAGCATTCAAGAGGGCAATAATCCACCAAAATCAAACAATAAGCACCAAACAAACCTCGATCTGGCCATAGACGGCGGCGACATGCAGAGCAGAAAGCCTCGCACTTCCGGCGGTCTTCTCTAAGACAGTTGGGTCAGCCTCCACAATTGGCTGCACTGTCTCCAAGTCTCCATTTTGTACGGCGCTAAAGAAAGCAGTCTCATGGGATTGTCGGCAACTGAGTTTTTGACCCATCACCTCTTTCTTTCCCCGTATCTGGCAAATGGGATGGGATGGCGCCTAGAACCCGCCTCACGCGCCACCTCCCGGTGGTGGTGGTGGTGGTGGTGGTGCTGGGTGGGGGTGACAGCGATATTGGTGGCAGTGACTGATTGTCTTGAAAGAGTAAAGGAGGTTTATCTATGTGATGCGTTTATGCGCTGGACAGTGACTATGACTCAGCCTCGAAGTCTGGCTCAGAGATTTCGGACAATTTTGCAAAATCATATAGGATTAGAGATTAGATTGAATTGCTGCAATCGCAATTTTCACATGGTAAGAAAATCTGAAAAAGGAAAAACTCAGTGCATTACCTTAAAAGTTCGGATTCTAGGAATATTTTATTATTAATAAGTGTAATTCCTCTGTAATTGAAGCTATTTTTTATTCTATAATTATTATTTTATAATTTAATATAACTTAAATTGTAAAATAAAAGATTTGTTTAAATAAGTTGTCAATTAAATAGTATTTTCTTTGCTCATAAGTAATTTCAATTTTGGAAAAAATGATTTTGCACTATGATAATTTGGAAGATATTCTTAAAAGAGACATATTTTAATTAATATTTTTAAAAGTTAATATCAGTTGATTTAAAAGTTTTATTTATATAAATAATTGCATATTAATATATGATCTAATATATTTAATTAGTTTAGTAATTACATAAAAATTTAATAGCATTAGATATATAATGTAAGAATAATGATAAGAAGAAATTTTTTTTTTTCAAACTCTAGACCTCCCGATCCAATATAAGAAGTGGTTTATAAAAATAAGATAATTATTAGACTATAAAAACATTATGAACAAAAAAAAAAAAAAAAACCTTTAAAGATGAAAATGTGAGATGAACCAATACGACAACCACGTAGTTTTTAACTTGTAATTAAAAAAAAAATAAATGTTTAATTTAAAAAATAAAAAGTTTTCACTAAGTTTCCATCGCTCCAAACTCTCCATGTTCTTTTTCTAATCTTTACCAAAAACAACAAAAATCAAGATAGAAGAGGGGGACTCAGAATTTATTAGATCCAATGAAGATTCGAAGAGGTGAACCACCCCACTTTCGTCTTCCTCTCTAATTTTCTCTTTTATTGTGGCTCAAGTTAATCCAAAGAAAACCAAATGAAAATTCAAAGAATGGAGAGCAATTTTCAATAAAATCTTATGTTTGGGTTTTGGGCATGAGTCCATGTAACTTGTATTGGAAATAAACTTATTTTCTCTGGTGAGGGGAGTCTCTTGCTATGATTAACAGAGAATTAGAAAGGGAAATATGTGGTTGAACGAGAAAAGAGTGCACATTGGGTATTGAGAGGAAGACTGTTAGAGCCATGTATTCAATTTCAAACAAAACTTCATCTTTCTGCAATTCTAATGTATTTTCCTCTTTGGTATGGTTGATTATATGAGAAAAATCTGATTTGAGTACGGATCTTATAAAGAAACCATCATGTAGCTAGATTTTGCACCTAATTTTTATTGAATCTGATTTAATGTGATTCTAGCTTAATTTTCCCCGTTCTTGCATTTACTTGTGCAGATTAGGATTTGGAATGATGTAAAAACCTTTTTTAATGTTAAAAATATTTTTTAAAAGATAAAAGTCATCCAAAATATTGTGCCCTGTGGCTGCCATGTTGGTTTGTCCCGCATTTTCATCCCCAAAATTCATTCTTCCTATCATTACTCATAATGTAAGTAAATAGAATTTTTAACACTATTAATTTATGAGAAAAATATTTATCAACTATATTCATAAAAAAATATATATATATATATTTTTTAAAATTATATTATTTTAATAAATTTTTATTAAAAAATATTAATATTTTAAACAAAAATAAGACTGTTTATATTTTTTTATAATATTTTACTTTTATTAAAATAAAATAATTTTAAGTCTTATTCAACTTAATTTTTATGAATTTCAGCGAATAAACAGCTAAACACCAATAAAATTCTCTTTGTTCCTTACACTTGAGACAATTGGCTTTACCTTTTTAGACTTCGTTCCTCTTATTGTCGCCAGTACCACTCCAACCTATCAAAAATTTATTTATTGACCCTTTTCTCTTTTTTATCATACTTTGGTCGGTTCATTGCAGCTTAAAAGCCGAGACTGATGGACAAAATATTACTTCTAATTCTACATTTCAAACAAATTCAATTTGTTCTCACTTGCTTTATCTCAAATTTATCTCAAATTTATCTCCAACAAAGTAAATGAAATAGATTCCTTTGCCTCCATTTTGTATATATTCCTTTTCAATAACTCAAAAAAATTCATAAGCAAATACTATACATTTATGGAAGAAAATAAATACTATAGTTGCTTTTTCAATGAACTTAGGGAGTGTTGGATAGGACCATAATTGGCACATACATATTCGTACCACACTCTCGTACCACACTCCCGTTACACACTCATTTTTTCATTAACTTTCACACTCCGTTAGTTTTCATTTCACTCTCATCGTATTCCCACCTTCTTCCTTTTTTTTTTTTTTCTTTTTTCCTCCTAGGTTCTCTAGGAGAACCCAAACCTGGGTTCTCGAGAACCCAAGGTGGGTTCTCTAGAAAAACAAAAAAAAAAAGAAAAAAAGAAGAAGGTGAGAACCTGAGAGAGGCCGGCAATTGTCTTGCATATGATTAGGATAATGATGGAGGTGAGGAGGGAGATGGATCTAGTGAGGATGAAAAGGGTTGGTTGGGTGAGTTAGAAGATGGTTGAAGAGATGGTAACGGAGTTAAGTGTAATTAACGGCAAAATAGCGAAAATTAAAGTGTATAACGGAATGTGTGATACGGGAGTGTGCATGCATCATTATCCTATTGGATATTATAGAAACTATAGTAGCAATCTTGTTTAATCAAATAATTATTAATTATAATTACTAATAATTCAAACATTCTCTTTTCAATTTTGAGTTCTATTAAATCAAAATGTGTAATCACTTAAATGTTATTAGTGTCGAGTGTTATTTATTTATTTAATGAAAAGTTAATTCTTAAAAAGGGTGAGTTCAAAAAAATAATTTCAAAATATAGTGAGTTTCAAATATATTTTTAGAAAGTCCTAAAAATTTAAATAATCTCAAATAAGTACCCTATGATCTCTTATTGGTTAAAATACTAATTTAGTCCCTCAATTTTTAGATTTATATCAAATTTATCCTTGAACTTCAACAGGTACCAATATTATCCCTGAATTTTAATTTTTGATATCAAAATAGTCCTTCAATTGATGAAATTGCCACATGACTCATTATTTTGCTATAAAATCAGTTCTTTTTTGAAATATTAATGATATATAAAATCAAATAGTTATATTTTACTATCATAGTATATTTCTAATTACATATCATATCAATATGTGATCAAAACTGAAAAACTAAATTAGTATTTATAATCAAAATTGAAAGTCTAAGTTGGTACTTGTCTTTAAAGTTCAAGGATTAATTAAGTTGATATTGAATTAAAAGTTCAAGGATTATTTTGGTACCAAAAATTAAAGTTTAAGGATAATTTTAATATTTTTTGAAATTTAAAGACAATTTTAATAAAAATATGAAAGTTGAAGGACCACATTGATATTTTAACCTTCTTGATTTTCCCTTCTCAAATTACCCTCCTTAATTGGATTTGTTAGTATTAAATTATGGTAGAGAATTAATGCTACCAAAGGAAATCATTTCAAATTTGGAAATGAATCTATGGAGATAACAAGAAGTAATAAACATGCAACACTTTTTTCATTTATTTTTTAACAAAATTTTTAAATGGAAGAAAAATTATTTATTTAAATGCAAGAAGAAGTAACAAACACGCAACATGTTTTGCATTTTGGCTATGTTTGGGATTATTTTGAAATGTTGTAACTATTGTTGTAATTTTTTAAATATTTTATTATAAAAAATATGTTATTTTCTTATAATTATTTTGAAAAAAATTCTTATAAATCAATACGAATTGATAAATTATATAAAATATCAATGGAAATTAATTTAATGATAATAAATTAATATTTTAAAGACACTAAGCAAAAAGCATTGTAAAAAAGAAATTAAACTAAAAAAGCCTAGTACATTTTTATTTCATCTCTATAAGGATAAAACTGAAATATACATTAATGTTTATTATCTTTAAAAATAAAAAGTAAGACAATTAATTTAAACAACTCTATTTAATTAGAGTGACAACTAGAAAAATAATTAATTAAATGCAAAAAAACAAAAAATGCAAAGCCCTACATATTTTATTTGTCTGACTTGGATTTCATTTTAATTTAATGCTAATGCTAATGAATCCCAATAAGACAATATAATGGTAAATTTAGAATAATCCATTGGGATTATTTATGCCTTTAGGACTTTTTAGTATTATTTTTGAAGAGAAATGATTTTAGAACAAATTTTTTTATCATTTTTTTGGTACAACTTAACATGTTATTTAAATTATTGATTCTTTTAATTCATGTGAGACCCGTAATATTGAATGCATCCACTCATTTAATAATATATGAAAATTTTATCAAAAGATAATATAAAAAAATTATTTCCATAATACCACTCATTTTTTAACTCCCTTAATTTAAAATTTTTCACTTTCATAAAAACGTATGAAAAAATTCATTCCGCACCAACCTGCGCACCTCGTCAAACCTTTTATATTTCAAGAAAAAAAAAATCACTATATCAAGATATATTAATTTTTGATACATTAAAAGATAAACTATTTCACATTATATAAATTTAAATTTTAATCTTAATTCATATTAAGAACTTTTAATTAATGAATATAAACTTCTCAAACTTTTGTTGGTCTGAATCATGATATTATAGCATCATCATGAGATGTAATAATTTTTTACTTATACTAAAAGATGGTACGTTGATTTAAATCCAGACAATGGGGCAAAAGAATCAAAAGATAATAATTTCAGCGCCCAATGCATGAACAAATAGAAAAGACAGATAGATGGATGAATCTAACCAATAACTTAACATTGTGCATTAATTATTTTATTAGACATATCACATGATTTGGTTATTTGTTCTAACTTCCAAGGAGGATGCACCAAAATCACTTTTGGGAGTGCTGCATAGGGAATATCAACTCTCCAATTCAATCCAGCTAAAAGTTTTGTAGATAAGATATTTATTTTATGGTTTAAATTAAATTATATTATAAAATAAAAATTATTAAATGAAGTATAAATTTTAATATTTTAAAATTTTATGATTCTTTTAAAAATTTAATTTGTATAATTTAACATAATTCAAATTATATAATTTTTTTAGACATTGCATATATTAAGAGGCAAAACTTTATATTAAATTCTTGAAACTTATCTTAAATTTTTTATTACACTCTTAAACTTTTATTATAATAAATAAGCTTTTGAACTTACTAATTTGAGCAATTTAATCATCTTTTTTATAGCAGACTCAATATTTATTTGTACTTTACTTTTATGGACAAGATTAACACCTACCATGTAAGTAATAACATGTTAATTAGGGATGACAATTTCCTCCAATCCCCACCCATCCCTGCAAAAAATTTTAAAATATATAAAAATTAATTTCATTTTAAATTTTATTCAACCCATTATAGTAAACCCAAACCCAATCCAATATAAATTAAACTTGACCCAATCTTATACAACCCAAACCATAAAAATTAAATTTAACCCAATTTTACACAACCCAACCCAACCTAACCCATTATTAACCCAAACCTTATTACCTTACTCATTTCATCCGTCATCACTCACTCTAACCTTCCCCTCGTTGCCGTCGGTAGTAGACTACCAATCAAGAGTCTCAGATTCAGCTCAGTTGCTCAGTTTCTCACTTCTTAGTTTCTCACAATCTTCTTTCAAACTTTCTCTCACCTTTCACCTTTGCCTTTCTTCCAACCCAATAATCCTAAATCCCTCCATTGTTGCCTACTGATCTGTTGGAGTTGTTGCCAGAGCTGAACTACATACTATTGTTGGAGTGGACTGCTACTAGGTTACACTGTTGTTACCGACTCCATCTGGAATACTGCTATCGAAGCCATCTACAAGCTAAATTTGTTCTACTTGTTGCTTTGATTGTTAAATTCATCTCTCCATTACGAAATCCATTGCTGAATTCTCTATGATAATATTATATCTGAAGTAGATCTACTAATGTGAATGATTTTATTATAGATTTTTTTTTTGTTTGGATCTGTTAAATGTTAATTTTTTTATTAATCTTACATTGAAGCAAATTTTTTGATACAAAAACTGATGTTTTCCATCCATAGACATGGTTTCATCTTAAATCTCCTAGTCAACTCTAGCCTCTCTAATTTCTTCTTGATTATGTAAAAGCATAATTTTTAAAAAAAATTTATTTTTATGTTGAATTGATCTTTCTTTATGTTAGAAACAAGTCTGTTAGTTTAGTTATTTATGTTGAATTGATTTTTATTTATATTTGGACAATTTATATTTGATTTTATATTTAAAGAATTTTTGTTAATGGTAATCAAATTTTTAGAATTTTATTTATTGTAATTGAATATTTATTAATTATATGTAAAAAATTTATATTTGGATATAAATTGACAAGAAATGAGAATCCCTGTGGGGATCCTTGCTCTCTGCATGAGGGCAAAATTTGTCTCTCGTCAAAAATCCCTGTGGGATCCCTGTTCTCACCATTCGTAGGGATGAGAATGAAAAGGGATTCCCCAACCCCATGGGGCCTGTCACCATCCCTAATGTCAATATCTTATCTATGCAAATGATATACAACCAGGTGTTAAGTCTATCGTAAAGAAGAAACGTTAAAATGCTTAAATTGTAATGTTTAGGGGCTTATTTATTTTAATAAGAGTTAAGGAACTTAATTGAAATTTTAAAATAAGTTTAGGGGTTTAATGTTGGGTTTTGCCTAAACTAGACCGGTAAACTCTTCCCTGAATTTTGCTTCAAACCTACAATTAAGCTTTCACATTGATCCAACCCAAAAAAAAAACCTTTGGATATCATGAAACGGGCCTCGGTCAGGTTTAAGCCACCGACTGGCCCAATTACACCTCCAAATCCACCGAAGAGCAGAATTTAGCTATGACATTTGAGTCTGCTCATCCCTTCCAGTTCAGCTGAATTGCAGAGAGCTTTGCTCCGACCACCGAAGGTATTGTCGACGGTCGGCGATGGCTCCTCTACAGCCCAAAAATGGGATGTTCGTTGGACTGAACAAAGGCCACATTGTCACCAAGCGTGAATTGGGTCCTCGACCTTCTGATCGAAAGGGTGTATGTGATCTTTCTACCTATTTTCCCTGTTTTTTTAAATGAATTTATACTTTTTCGATCCACATTGTAGTGATTCAGTGCCGGTTGCGTTGTCTGTTTGATTCTTTTGTTGTTAAAAAGTTTTTGTCTGATGTTGTCTCGATTATGTTCTGATTTGGTTATTTAGAAAACGAGCAAGAGGGTGAATTTTGTGAGGGGATTGATAAGGGAAGTTGTGGGTTTTGCTCTCTATGAGAGGAGGATCACTGAACTTCTGAAGGTGGGTAAGGATAAGCGTGCACTCAAGGTTGCCAAGAGAAAGTTAGGTACCCACAAGAGGGCAAAGAAGAAGAGAGAAGAAATGTCCAATGTACTCCGTAAGATGAGGTCAGTTCTTACCTCTTTTCCATCTTATGCTTTCCTTTATGCTCTTTCCATCTATAGTATGCCTGGGAAAGTTTTAGGTGATGTTCAATGTCTTGGTAATATGATTATCTCTGTTACGTAATCATCTACAACTAATTGGAAACCCAAAATGAGTTAGGTATTGTAATCAGTGAAAGAGTTTTGTGGAGGGAAAATGGATCTTTATCGAGAAACAATAGAACCTTTATAGTTTCTGCACGGTTAGGTATGCCAATTACCATTTTTGGACTATATTAGATTGCATTTTAATTTTCATGCCACTATTCAATGAAATCTGCTGGATGTCTGCATTTAGGATTAAGGAGTTGAAATGCAAGCGTTTCTAATCTCTCAGCATAGGTGTATATTAATGGACACTTTCATGGTTATTGAGTATTAAGTTATCAATGTGTTTTGTTATTGATTTTCAGGTCTGGTGCTGCGTCTCATGAGAAGAAAAAGTGAAGTGAAAATCCAAACGGTTTGAAATTGTCTCCTTTAATCTATGGATGATATTGTAGCTTAGTAATGCCAGTTGATTTTTGTTATGCCTTTTTATGATCCTACTTAAAAGGGTTAAAAGTTCTGAAATTTTGACTTCCTTTGAGATATTTGGATTTTCCTTTGCCTCCAAGTTTTCTTCACGAGCCACTAGCTTGATCTAATTTTTGTGATGTGCTTGATTGATCCCATATTGCTAGTCAAATCCTTGTATCTTTGTGCAACTTTTTATTTAGAAAGCTATATATCTATCCTAATGACTTAGTTGTGCCTGCTAAAGTATATATGCAGTAGTCAAGACTTGATGTAGATGATGCAAGTTGGGCTGCTGGCATGCTCTTTTTTGTGGCAAAAACCTGCTGTGTGATGACCAAGATTGGATAGGAGTATTTTGGCAACGTAGTTCAGAATATTTTGAGGAATTTGGGATCACCCTCCCCCTACTTTGAGTTGTCTACTAGGATCCGTCTCTGCCATGCGTTGTGAGAGAATACGTAAATAATCATCTATATAACAGATGTCCAACATGTTCACCTTATATTCCATCATTCCTAATCTTTTAGTTGGGGTTCTTTGATCAATGCCTATCCATCTCCAATTACTTGAGGTGTCCTTTTCAATGGTTGGCTGCTGCCTAAATCTAACACGATACAAATTCTTTTTTCCCATATAAGAAAAGTAGACAAGTTTTATACCCCTTTGAATGGTATTTTCTTTTTTTCCTTTGGCCGAATCTTTGAATGTTATAATATAGATCTGGTTTTTTCTCTTTCAGTGGCAGAAAGGAAGTATGTGAATTGATATATGCTTGCTTTAGGTGAATATTCAAACGGGATAATGCCCTTTGGATCCAGCATAGAACAGAATAATCCTGCTATTGCTTTCACAACCAATGCATTTCTGAATGTGGGTTCAGCCCTGAAATCTGACCTTACCTGCCTTATAAATTATAGGTTAAATGTCAATTTAATTAGTTTGTAAACTTTTAATTTTGAAATTTTTAGTCCCTGAACTATTTTCGCACTTTTTGTCCCTAAATTATGAAAAATGCATCTTTTTATTCTTTCCATTAATTAGTTGTTAAGTCTGTATAAATATATACACTTTTAATACTTAAATTTATCATATAAACACATTTTTAGTCTCTAAACTTAAAAATGTATATATATAAACAAATTTAACATACTAAAAAAAGTGTATTTTTTTTATCATTTAGGGACAAAGTATTAAAAAAATTTGAGAACTAAAAATGTTCAAAATTAAGAGTTTAGGGACTAAAATTGACATTTAACCTAAATTGTAATGGACAAGAGGGATTTCTGTTTTCAATCTTTTTGATCGAAATACTTTTCCCCCATGCTACAATTGCCTTAAATAAACCTTATTCCAAATTTGAGGCTCCTATCTTATTGGCCAATGAATCCCATCAAGCAATAGTGAGACACTAAACAAAAGGCAAGAAAAATATGCAATTTTATCACATTAGTGCTAATCAACATCAATTAGAAAGCGATTTTGTCGATATGTGGTCTTGAGAATTTGTGTCTTTATTTTTTGTCTTGGTACATCTTCAGAATTAGTGTCTTAATGAGGCAGGAACTGAACTGGTTAGGCAAAGAAACAGAGACAAACTGATTATTTCTTAGCACTTTTGGACGGTTTTACTTCACAACCAAGTTAATCATTCCATTCTGGAGAAGAAATATCCGGAATTGGAAAATTATCCTGATTGGGCCTAACTTAGACCTTAAGTATCCCTTCCAATCCCAAGTTGAGTCCAACAGCCGAGCCCATGTCTCACCTTTTCAAGAACAGGAAATTTTAAAAAGAAAATGGAGGAAAATGAAAAAATATACATAAAAGATGAAAGTACATCACTTATTTGATGTTATTGATGTATGGGGGAGCTTAAGTAACTTGATTCAGACAGATTATGTCTAATATTATATAAACAAAAATTAGGGTCTAATCAGTTCAACGAAATGTCTAAACCTAAATGGGCAAAGTACTAATGGAGTAGGTTGCTTCCTCATTAATTCTTGAATAAATAATAATCTTTGCTCTTAATTTTATAATATAAATGACTTGATGCTGATGGCTCGAAGCAAAACTGTCTCCTTCCCCCACCAATTTTGGTTGTAGGGTTTTCTGAAACGGACAAATACAAGCAAACAAAAAACCTAACGATCAAAATTAAGTGCTTCGTCACGCAAGCATCTAATTATATTCCATGCAAATTAAGAAAAAAAAAAAAAGTGCATCCATAATGTTGCTACACGTTGCGAGTTTGTTTGGCCTAACTGTATGATGTATCTTTTATAAAGTGTCGTTTTAATACAACTTTAGGAGTGGTATTTGACTATATAAATTATCAAATTTAGAAGTTTAATAAAAAAAAAAGTTATTTTAATTTAATTTTAAAAATTAAAAATACTTTTCAAAATGATGTATTTAATTAACCCAGTTATAATTTTTACAAATTAAAGAAAATATTTTTCAAAAATTGAGTCAAACACACACAAAATATCCTTGTAGTTAAAATCTAAATTTCAAGACAGAAGGGTCAATGGAGAGAATGTTTAGATATAATTTTGCTGAATTTTAAATAACCAACACAATCAATCAAAAATCTGTTTTGCATGAAGAAGACGACAGCGCACTTTGAAAAATCATGCATTTGTTTGATTTAGGTCTTTCTTTTTCTTTGTATGAAAATCCCATTTGCTTTATATTAAGGAATAATCTACAAAGTGCTTTATATATATATATATATATATGTCTTTCGTGAATAGGAAAATTCTGGATGGAATATGTCGAATACATACTTCCCCCCATTTTTTCTATGAATGGATCCAACATGTTGAATTGAATCAACTAAGGTTGTCACTAATAATTGATGATTTTAATAATAAAACACGGTTTAGATTTAATATTAGGAACGTACGTAATTACACGTGCATCGTCAAGTCGTTAATTAAAAAAAATGATGTTAATTAATTTTTAATAATGTGCCTTATAATATGACCTATACCTAATAATGCAACCAACACATGTTATTTTTAATATCGTTTCCTAAGAGTACCACCTAATTAAGAATTTCAGCATCACATCAAGGTCTATTGTAATTAATTAACTAAATTAACAACTTATGCCAATCATAGCAATTGGTTAATATTAATTGCCCCATATCCAAATCCAAGTTGCTTTGGACAGCTATAAAGTGTCAACTTCGGATGCTGCCCACCTAAAAAGAAATCCATCAACATATTTGATTGGTTGGTTCAAGTCCCACAGGCAGCAGCCAAAGAAATGAAATAGTAGTATACAAGAGTCTTCTAGGCAAAGGCAAAAAACTACAGTAATTGGGTACAGTCCCCAATTATAAGGTTATCTTAACAACAGAGGGTTTTTGAAATTAGTACTAGGAAAATGTTTTGTACTTTGAACATAAGGAAGGGGATTGGTACATTCATTACAATGGGTAGTGCGTGTTGGCAAACACCTATGGTTGAAGGGGTGCAACTTGCACAAAGCTTGGGCCACACCAAAGAATTGAACTATTTAAACCATGGTGTTGGTGTTATAACCAAAGGGCAACTATTGATATACATTTTGATTTAATAATTTATACAATATATTTATTAAAAAATTATTATTTTTTGGTTTTATACAAAACCGAAAGGTCACACTTGAGAATTGGACTATATAGACCATGTTATTGGCGCATCATAACCAATCTCTACAGGGACCGGTTCAATTAATTGTGAAATCTTACCCAACACCAATGGTGGAAGGAGTGCAACTTAAACAAAACCAGGTCACACCTGAGAATTGAACCATATATACCATGGTGTTGGTGCATTAATTAGAATCAATCACTATAAGGACCAGTTAGGAAAATGTATACTAGGCCTGTTAAGGAAACTTCCCTTAATGTCCAGGCAAGGTGGGGTTGGAAAGGCCTAAAAAATCAGAGTGGGAATCTAAAATATATGGGACATGTCTGTATGATTGAGAGGCACATGTGGGAGAACGTGAGGGACTCAGAAGAAATTGGAATCTCAGTCTCTTTGGCTCTTTGCTTTCTTCCTTTGGCCATGCCATTCTCCATCAATTACAGATACAATCAAACCTACAGAGACATGTCCGGACTGGCTATTACAAAAGTGAAAGCTGCAATGGTCTTGTAGGATCAGAGCACACAAACCCATGTAAGGAAATCAACACATGACAACTTGAAATCACTCAAAGGGAAAGGATAGAAGTAGTAAACAGAAATAGATGGATAGCTAAGATTTGGCTTCGAATTCCGAGCCTTCTTCTAGTATTTTGTACGGCTATTTCTTTTCTTTGATGAATAACAAAAATGAGATTTAACCCCTAATTAGTACTACTATAATAAAATTACTCTTGCCTGTCCAACATAAAAAATAATTGGAATAGAGTAATCTCTATTTTATTTAATTTTTAAAATTTTTTTATAATTAATAATTAATATTTTGTACTTATTTAAATAATAACACATCATATTATATACATTATTATCATATACATCTCTGTATTTTTTTTTTTTTTTAAGTCTTAATAGATATCGACAATTTCGGGATCGCTATAGTATAGTTCGTGGGAAGTTCTCCTTTGATTACTGAACAAATGAAGATCGTTGTCTGACCGACCCACCAAACTACAAGATTATTGTCCCATGCCTGTCTTTCTCTATCTATGACTATCGTTTAGAGAGAGAGAGAGAGAGGGGAGCTTTTTCTTTGAAGGTTTTGAATGTGCTTTATTCGTTCTTGGTAAGCAGGTATAGCATTGGGTATTGAAAAAGCAAATCCGAAACATTCCTAGATTCCTTTCTTTCAGCATGACCCTATTCCAGATGGATTATAATAATAATAACCTTATAATTATGATGTTAATTTATTATTATATATTAATTAGAGGGAAGTTTCTTAAGGAGGGAGAGTTTTTCCTTTATTGATTTTTTTAATAAAAAAATATAATTTTGAGTGGTCCTCTTATAATTTAATCATGAAATTGGTTTCAATAATAGGTAGAGCCCATTTTGTCCAGCTTTCTGCGAACATTGTGCCAAATTCATCGGCCAAATTTTATCTATTTACTACTACATGAATTGCCAAATATTTAGAAAGGTAACAGAACATGTCATCCATTACAGTCATCCTTGGAAGCCCCAAACCAATCATTTTGTTGGAAACTTAACCTGCCTCCCTATTCTTACTCGTGTTCATACTGTTTAATCACATTACCTCTTCATGTTTAATCACGTACCCCTTAAATTTTGACCGTGTGAAGGGATAATGTGATTAAATAGTACTAATATGAATTAAAATACTAATAGATGGATTATAAATTGCAAAAAATTTAATAAAAAAATGATTGATACACTTTTTAATTTAATATATTTATCAATTTAGTTAGTAAAATTTTAAATTTTAAATTTTCCCACCTTTAATTTAAATTTGAAAATATAACTTTTTAACGAATGTACAGCAAAATATATTAAATTATAAAGTGTATGTATCATTGTTCAAAAGTAATATTACGCAAAATCCAAATGTAACACCATCACTACAAAAAAAAATCCCTCAATTGCGATATTTTTTTACTGCAAAAAACATTGCAAACACTATTTTACTGTAATTTTAGTGTAAACCATCATAACAAATAATGTCTCAAGGAACAATTTTTTTGTAGTTTATATAAATTGCATTAAAGAAATATAAAAGATATTTTAAATCCATAAGATAAGATCCATGTGTAAACAATTGTTATCTTATAAGTTAAGTTTATGATTCAAAGTATTTATGGCAAAACTTAAATAAAATACTTCAACTTGTTACCAACTAACCTCAGAACATATTAACTAATCCTTATCCTGTCAACGCATAAGTAGGGAACTGGACCCAGGCATGAAAATGCTAAGCTCTCTACTTTCCCTTTTAGCCACACAAAAAGAATTGGCTTGAATAAATAAAATCTATTAATTATACACAAATTACATCATCTTTTGGGAGGAAGAAAAAAAAAACACACACACATTCGAAAGTAGTCTTCATAATCTGATTTTATTTTGAAAATATAGGAATAATTTGAAAATGAAGACAAGATTATATTCCCACGTTATATATAATCTCAAAATTCAAAATTAACTTTGAGTGATATCAGTCAAGAAACGAATTTTTGGTCTCAACAAATGTAGTCCCTTCTAAATCTTATAATATCCATTCTTGAGATTCATTTTCCCACTTCCCAATCAGAAGAATTAACCCAGAGAATTTGACAGTTTCAATACTGAAGTACTACATTCCCTAGAAACCCTAATTGATGGTACTAAAATCAACTCTGAAACTGATCAAGTAACTATTCACTTGATGTCTCGATGTCCTCTTCAAGTCAAAGTCCTGCTGACTGACTGACTGACTGACTGTCTTGCTGTGTTACGACCAAAGCCCACAGTAGTTGTCAGTAACGTGAGCGAGTGAGATCAGAGCATAAAACCAGCTGCCCCTGGCACCTGGCCCCCTGGCACCTGGCCCCCTGGCCAGCAGAAGATGTACATTAGTTGCTGCACACTTCCACGCAGCCATGGAGGCGCGTGCCAGGGAGCGCCAGTTCTTGGTCCACATACTGACAAATCACTACTTTGTCGCATAGTGAAACCTTTAAATAACACGTTCCCACTCGCGTAAAACAGAGAACGTGGGTCAGACATTCTCTCTCCGTTTCTTCTGTTGTTTTGTCCAAAATGTATCACTTTGACCCTGTTTTGTTTTTCCGCAATTTTTTTATAGAAGTTTTCCATGTTCTGTGTTTTAAGGCAAAGAGACAGATTAAGTGAATGTAATTATTATAAATTGACATCGATTGGAGGCGATGATTGTAACTCTCTACTCCCTCAGTCTTACACTAACCAATCTTTTTTTTTTTATTAAATTTATTTTAAATTAATTATCGACATCTCATTTTTATAATTTTATAATGCTTTAATCAATCTTTTTCTTGTTAATTTCATTTTAACTAAGTAGTTATAAGAAAAGATGTATTGATATACAAGTGATGGTAATTTATTTTGAAGTAAATCAGATGATGCATTATTTTAAGTTCTTTGAAGTTCGAAATTTGAACACATACATAACAGATAAACTTTTTTAATAATAACGTTATTATTAGATCTTCTTTGAAAAAGCTCGAGAGAATTCTCTTAACAGGGATTTTAAGACACCATGATGATCCTTGGTTATGGTTTGGAGTGGCATTTTGGAGTCTTTTGAGAATCATGTTTCTTTGATTACTAGTACTACACTACTACTCCTGATATTTAGTACTAATTAATCATTAATTAATGTTTTGATCTAACTAAGGCTGCGGACTGACTGGGGAGTACGTTCAAGCATTATTACATTATCATTCCCTTTTACTATTGCAGTTGGCCTGATCTGTCTGAGATTTAGTATGTGCAGAGAGAGATCAGAGAGTTGTCTTTATTCCTTAACACCAACACCCACACCCACACAGCCACATGCAAATATATATATATATATATAATAAAAATCATATAAGCATGCATCGTGAATAATGGGGAGTCATTAAAATCTAGGTGGATCTCTTA